GGGTCCCTCCCTCCCTCTCCTCCACCACTCTTGCTGCTGCACCCTCAAAAGCAGCGCTCTCACCGGGAGAGACCACATTTGCACCTCCAGCCCCCCCGCCCCTTGCCCCCCCGCGCGCGCCGAGTCAGCCCGGCTCACACAATGGGAGAGTCACCGGGGCTCGACCCACCGGGTGCTTCGCAGAAATCAGCGCACGAAAGCAAAAGCCAAACGACGTCTTTAAGTGCCTCGGCAAATTACAGCACAACGCCACGCCAAACCACGGCACCGTGTTGTGCGCGGTCACTTTTTTCCCCCCACGAAAAATCTACAGAACCAGATCCACGACCTTGGGGGGCGGTCGGTCGAGCCAAGTCCACCATTCCGGTTGCCCCCCGCCCCGCCCCTTAGGTGGAGCCACCTAAGGCTCAAAAGTCCCACGGAAGGCAAGTCAAACGTTCCGACGAAAAAACACCCCCACGCTTTAAAAAATGAACTTCAATTTACGGGTATGTAGCCCAATGGTTTAGCTATGAAGCTGCTACGGGGTCGTTCTAATACTACGTGACTTTTGGGAGGGGTACAAATATTACGAGGTATTAAAGGATGAGGAACATAATTGGAGCCCATAGAGACCCCACATGATATTTGTAACCCCGGGCTACAAATATTGGGGTGCTAACGGGCTTATTTCATGATGGCCGTGAACCTTTTGGAACCCCGGAATATTTGTACCTCCCCCCCCCCCCCAAAAAAGAAAAAATCACTTAGTATTGGAACGACCGCTAATCCCTTTTCCCCGTGAGGCGTTTAGACTTACCAGCTAGGAGCTCGCGGAGGCGCTCCAGGGCGGGGCCGACGTTCTCGCTGGTCTCGCGCAGCTCCTTGAGCGCCACCTCCCTGCAGTGGTCGTTCATCTCGCCCAGCTCGAACGTGAGCGTGAAGTCGCCCAGGTGGATGCATGGCAGCTCGTCGATGTCAGAGAGCAGCGCCGTCTTGGCTGCAAACCAAGAAGGATAACAAAGTTGACTACAATGTCACTCGGAAAAAAACACATTAAAATTAAAAATAAAGTGTACGCCTGAGGAGAGGGAACCCGTTTCCGACCACGCATCCTGTTTTCCTCCACACTGGCTTCCGATAACTCCATTCCATAGCCTTCGTCCTCACTTGTTTTTTTTTCTTAAATGAATGAAAGAAAGAGCATTTACCCGGACATCCTTGGAGAGATGTCGGAAAAAAACATAATCAAGATAGATTGTTAGACCCGCGCAAACAGACACCCAACTTTTATTATTAGATATTTTATACCGACGTGTCACTGACACCTATCACTCGCCCACAGAAGCACACTCGCGCCATTTAACACTTGGCAAGCAAAAAAAATAAGAAAAAAAAAGAGAGAATTTATTGCATAATTGCTTTGAGTATTCAGTCGTGATTCAGCAGTGACGGACGAGGCGAGGCGACCCGGGCGACCTGGAGGGTGCAGAGTGCGGTGCCGAGCGGCGTCATCAGGAAGGAATACCGAGGGGTACTTCCTCGGGTACTTCACTATAATCACGCCAAGCGTACACCAATTCCTATTTGTTGATTTTCTCAAAATATTTTCTTGTTTTTTTTTCTATTTTCTTCCGAACTTTTTTCTTGATTTGATTTTTTTTTCTGATTATTTTTAAATTGATTTTTCGCTTGATTTTCCATCACATTTTTTTTAACAGTGTACGCGATGATTCCTTTTTCTGGAGTGAAGTACCCCTTTGGAGGGAAGACCAGGCGACCCACACGTGTGTGGGCGACCACAGCGACGACGACTGCGGGGTCCCAGACACATGCCAAAGCGGGTCGATGTCTCCTAACGACGACCTTGACCCACCGTCGCCGTGCCCCCCGCGGCGGGTACACACACTCAGACACCCACAGCCCGCCCCCACCCGCGAACCCGGCGCGCGGCCGGCCGCAGACAACAACGCGCCCTAATCATCTTCGACATTATTACGTGATTCACCGGCAGCAAAACAGAAAAAGTTTCCAGAGGCAAAAGCATGTACGCGGATCACAAAATATCGAGCGCAGCATCAATAACCAGAATCAATCGCCAGCAGCTTGTAAAACCACGAGAGGAAATCTCGTATAGCAGCTGATGTTTGTCGGGGAGAGGGGTGGGCAGGGGTGGCGCTGACCGCGAGGTGGTGGTGGTCGAGGTCAAGTTCACCACAAGCTGTCACCGTAAGGTTATCGCCGTAACCAACCTACCTGCCGACGGTGCTGCCGGCCCGCCGGTCTCTGGGAGGTGGCACATTCCCATATCGCGCCACGACCATCGCAGTATCGAAATTATCGATGCAGCTGACTGCCGGGCCGGGCCGGATCGGAAAAAGAAAGTTGCCCGCCGTCGTGAGAGCAAGCAAAAGCTATGCGAAATTAATTTTACTACTGTAGAATCCAGAGCTGGTGGAACTGTTTCTGCCACCCCCGACTGTTCACGGGGAAAGGGGGTGGGGGTACAAATAATATGGCCCCCGATCAGGTTCAGGTTAGTTATTGGAGTCGGTATATTGGTACCCTCGGGTACAAATATTAAGGAGTCATGGACTCCAATGACGGTCCTGATCCTTTTGAGACCCCCATGACATTCGTACCCCTCATCCCGAAGTAGTATGTGTGCACGATGCCTATAACGTGCTCGGCCGATTATGGCAGCCTCTGCAGGAAGGTGCATAGAAAAACTCTCAATGACCCGCAGTGCCTGCAGACGTCGCTGACGCAGCAAAGCTACACGCAGCATCCCTGACCTGGACCCGTGTCGGCCAGCGGGGCAACAGCCTGCTGACGACCGGCCGCCCTTGGACGGGGCACGCCCCACGCCCCTCTGCCCCCTCGCTTCTCTCTCTCCTTGTTCCCCCTCCTCCCCCCCCCCACCAACCACCACGCCAGATTAAAAAAGATCTCGTCAACACACAAGAAACATATTCTTATTACGAAGTTACTGCAGGTCATCGCGCCCAGTAAACTCCTCGCAAGGACACTCCGGCACGCCGGCAGCGTGCACGAGCATACGCAACGTGATGAGGTTGGTACACCAACTGACCTAGCGTGTGATAACTGCCCAACGCGTTTTACCCTGATAAAACGTGTTACCAATTAAAAGAAAAAGAAGTAAAATACAAAAAAAAAAGAAGAAAAAAAACACAAAAAAATACGAGAAAATTGTTTCCAGCCGAAAAGCAAGAAGCTTATCGTCCGGCCCAGCCTCCAGATCAATAACACAAAGTATCACGCGACGCGATTTAAAGCCGGAAACAGTCACGCGATGCACGCGCCAGCCAATCAGGCGCGTCGCTCAGGGAGAGATTTAGATAGATACTGCAGCCGCGGAGAGCTCCCGCGCACGGCTACCGCACGGCGGCGGCGGCGGCGCCTCGCACCGATACGATACCAACAGCCCCCATGATGCAAAGCTGCGCCCACCCATACATACACGTGCGCCGCGGCTATCAGACAGACTCCGCCCCGCCCCGCCCCACCCGATGAGACGAGGTATGTTTGCCAAACAGACACACGCCCACCGCGCCCGCAGCGCACGCACGCACGGGCGCACGGGCGCACGCACGGGCCACAAGGAAGAAGCGCGGTAAACTGGATGGGAGGATAAACAGCCAGCAATAGCAGCGGTCGCAAAGGAAAATGTGAAGTGCGGCCGCTGCGCGGCTATCGCTTCTGTGGGCTCTATGAGCTTCTGCTGCCGGCCTCGAGTTACATGGACGGACAACCCATTAACTCAGTCGGCCAACAGCAGAGCAGAGCCATCGGAGGTGTGCTTCACTATTTATTCAAAACGTGCATCACCTTGATTACCCTGAACGTCCAATTTTCAAAACTTCATAAATTTCACAATTTCATAATTTGTGATTTTTTCCCTGATTTTTGTGAATGTGTACACGATTTTTATTTGAAGTGAAGTACCCCACCCCGGTGAAGCTACGGCCACTGAGCGCCTGACAGGTAGGCAACTCAATGCAGGCGTGCGCCCACGTTGCCTACCTGCACGGGGGCTCAGTGTGGCGGCGGGCGCGCTGGGCAATCCCGCCCATTCAGAGGTTAGCTTTCGGCGGCCGCGGGATCGACGGTATTTCCTGTTATTATGATGTTGCTTCTCAATAACCCATTGGTTACACACGATTTCATACGGAATAAAACAGATAGCACCGCAGACTGTACTAAAGCCATTCGCGCGCGCCACGCCACTTTACGCAGCCCGGCCCCGGCCGGCCACCCGCTGCAACGACGACGGTAAACGAGTCTCGGTAATCCTCCTGAGAAAAAGGATTCCTCCTCCGCCGGGGTAAACCACGCAAAGACATGACGTGGTCTCTCCAAGCTCCTGAAGGACAGAGATGGCTCGCCGTCATCCTGGCATATCCTTCTGGACATGAAGTATAGAAAGCGAGATCACGACTTGTCCAAAATTTTATGCGGCCCTTCCCCAAAAATTATGGAACCCAATAATATAACAGCACTAAGAGCAAGATCCCGTTCTGGCTTGAGCGCGAGCTCGCGAGTGTAACTCGGGAACGGAAGTGCACCGCCCACCGCCGAGCCGACCCGGAAGTTGCCGCAGAAGAGGCTTCCCGCGGCCCTTGCATTCCCAGTTGCTGCTGCTGCTGTTGCTGTTGCCGAAACGAAGGGCTCCGGACCGGCGGCGCCCTACTTCACTGCTTCGCCCAGCGCCACCGCCGCAGCCGAGCCCTTCCATGCGGGGGAGGGAGCGGCAGGAGGGAGAGAACGACCAACAGCAGCCACCTCCAGCAGCTCCAGCTCCACTCACCGTCACAGCACGACTCGATAATATCGATGGCGGGAGCCATCTCGGAGCAGCAATAAGGCACGACAAAACTGGACACGCGCACAAACTGACAGACGCACACGACGATCGGACGCAACAAACGCGACGCGCGGAAGAGCGAAAGGCAAGAGTCTGCCTGGTGTGGAACCGGCCGGCGGAGCACTGGCTATGGAGCGGCTGGGGGGCCGGACAGGCTATATGAGCTCGGCTGGGCGCGGCGGGGCGGGGCGAGGTGGGGC